CTGATCTTTATTATTTCTTTCATTCTGGAGACTGAAGACTTCTTTTGTGGCTCTTTTTCTGTTTGTTGGAGTTGGTGATTAAAATGTTGATTTGGGTTCTTTCTTCTTTTTTGACGTATGTATTAACTGCTATAAATTGACCTCTGAGTACAGCTTTTGCTATGTCTCAGAGGTTTAGTATGTTGTATTTTCATTCTTATTTATTTCTAAGAATTTTTTTTTTTTTAATTTCACACTTTATTTCTTCTGTTCCCCAGTGTTTCTTGAGCAGTGTGTTACTCAGTTTCCATGTATTTGATTTTTCTCTGGTTGTCTTATTGTTGATTTCTTATTTTACAGCATTGTGATTTGAGAAGATGCTTTGTAGAATTTTGATGTTTTTAAATTTATTGAGGCTTGATTTGTGGCCTAACATATGGTCTATTCTGGAGAATAATCCATGTGCACTGGAAAAGAATGCATATTTTGTTTTTGTTGAATGGAGTGCTCTGTATGTCTATAAAGTCAGGTTGGTTGATTGTGTTGTTGGGAACATCTGTATCTTTGTTGAATTTTTTCTGCTTGTTCTGTCCTTTATCGAAAGTGGTGTGTTAAAGTTTCCTACTACTGTTGTCTATTTCTTCTTTCAATTCAGTTAATGTTTGCTTTATGTATTTTGGAACTTTTTGGATCATAGATATTTATTATGGTTATATCCTGCTGGTCTATTGACCCTTTATTATCATATAATGCCCTTCCTTGTCCCTTATGCTGCATTTTGCCTTGAAGTCTGTTTTATCAGAAATTAATATTGCTACTTCTGCTTTTTTTGGTTGCCATTATCTTGATTTTTTTCCCCCATTAATTGACATTTATTTTTGTCTTTGTGTCTAAGGTGAGTCTCTTGTAGACAGCATATTGATGGGTTTTGGTTTCTTATCCAGTCTGCCACACTCCCTTTCCCTTGACTGGTGCATTTAATCCATTCACATTTAGTTTAATTAATGATTGGTATGAATTTACTG